TTTGAATATTTTTTTTCCACTTCCAAATTTTGAAAAAAATACCGTAGAGAGGGTGGACCAGCAGGGCCTCTTGAATCTGCCACTGAAATACTTATCATAATAATATTGCATGTACAGCACTCTTAAAATCAATCAAGAGGCTTTTCCTTTCCTTCTCTTTTTGAATTTCATATTAATGTGCGAGTAGTATTGCGACTATACTATTGTGAGTGGAAATACTAACGTGTAACTTCCGATCAAGGACTAAGGAGATAGGAAGCACACACAAAATTAGTTAGCATTAATTTCACAAACAGAAAAAGTGATTTACTTAATGACTAATTATGGATCTATAGCCTATTTCATACTGGGAGTTCCAAAGCAAATTATGATTATGGCACCTCTGATCCCCGGAAATGGCAGTCATTCAGACTTAAATTTTAATATTTTATCTCCATTTTTTAAAAACTTTGACAAATATAGGGGGTCCCGGTTGGCTGTGCACCCTATCCCCATTAGATTAATATGACATATGTCCTACAGTCAATGTCAGAGACATGTTATGCTGTTATGTATAAACAAAGCCGCTTTAGATCAGAGTGCTATAGAGCGTGGATCTCTTATGGGTAGGGCCACCGCAGGGACCCCGTAAGCGTTGCCGTGGCCCTGCGGATAATAATAATAATAATAGTGTAGTTTTATATAGCGCACAAATCCATCTAATGTAAGATGCCCAGGGCGCTTGAAATGTGGACTAGGAACTCGATCGCCGCACGAGAGCGCATACGCGTTACGCCACTGAGCATGGATAGCTGCTGCTGTTCTAGATGGGCACACTGCATTCCGTTAATGCGGCTAAAAAAACCCCCGTCTTAGAGCTCCGTCTTTTGTCCGTTTTTACATCCTAATTTAAGAAATCGTTGGAAAAAAAATCAAGGTCGGGGATATAGCGTAACGATGTGTTCGCCGTCAATCAATAGAAAATTCAAAACTAGTGAGTGGTAAGATAATCGAGCACTCCTTTTGCCCACTGCTGTGACCACCACTGAGCTTTATTGGTACATATTTTTTTTCCCCCTCTTTCCTCCCTCTAACTCTTCTCAATTTTGCTCTCCCTCTTTTTTCAGTGGAACTGACAGGGGCG